GTGTGTGTGTGTGTTGTGTGTGTGTGTGTGTGTGTGTGTGTGTGTGTGTCCAGTGCACGGCACCCGCGCAGACTTTCCACTGACACACACACACACACACACACACACACAAATACACACACACATATACCACTTGCCGTACATGGTACACGGCGACAGGGAAAAGGACATTCGCGCGTTTGCAGAGGATGCGGACGTGGCCCTGCCCATCATCAACGAGAATTGTCCAGCTTGCTTCGAGGCGCCCACCGTGCGTCTGTGTAGTGTGTGGAGTGTGTGTAGTGTGTGTATAGTGTGTTGTGTGTGTAGTGTGTGTAGTGTGTGTATTTGTGTGTGTGTGTGTTGTGTGCTTGTCATCGTTTGTACATGCCGGTTGCCACCGAGCGACACAACAGCCGCCTTGATTCATTTCCTTGCTTTCCTCATGCGCTGTGGTGTGTGTGTGTGTGTGTGATGTGTTCATCAGGAGCGACACCGCGTGAAGCAGCTGTTGGCCTCGCAGGAGCTCATCTTTCCTCGATTGTACGGCAGCATCCAGGCTGCCCTGCTTCCGTTGATGTCCAAGAATCGCACTGGCCTTGAGTCCCGCAGGCTCGCCCCACCACCACACACAAGCGACAACAACAACACAGGCACCGACACAGCAGACGCGGACACACCAACTTGCTGATTTCTGTGTACATCTTCCATTAAACTTCGAACTACCCAATTCAAAACAGCCGACCAACTGTCCTCTCAACAACACGACGCTCCACCACTGCACACACTCAACACCCGATGTCACGGCCCAGCTTGATCCCTGCGACTGCAGGGTGGTTCGCGGCTTTGTTTGGCAAGACAGAGCGCGGGGGGTACGCTGCTGTGAAGGAGGCGTTCCACTTTGATGCAGTGCGGCAGGTGCTGGTTGCGCCGAACCAGGAAGAGTTTGATGTTGGGGTGTTCTCGCGACCGAGCGTGCAGGAGTTGAGGGATCGGGTGGCACAGCTGCCACGACGAGCAAAGAGGAATTCAACAAGCAGCCACCGCAGGCGCAACGTCACCGTGAAGCACATTGCCACGCCAGATGTCATGGAGCTTCACGGCGAAATCGAATGCGAGAAAGCCCTGTTCCAGGTGAGGTGGACAAATTCATTGCCGTGTGTGGCTTGTGACATGTCCTGCCGATCATTGTTTACTGACTGTGTCTTCGGCCGGCCCGTGAAGGTGTCAGGTCACATCGGCTACCACATCCGAGCACACCGCTTCCTTTTTCCTGATGGGTTGTGCATGTGCGTGTGCGCTCACTCCGATGTTGTCCACGTTGTCAGGCTGCATCTCAGATGAACTGCCTTGAGATGGTGTCGTCCGGCGTCACCCCGGAACAAGGCGTCACCGGTTATGTGTACGATCGCACGCAGGGTCCCGCCTGCGCCCTCGTGTCACCGGCCGCCACCATGTACAGGTACTTTTGGGCCCCCGCATCAAACCGGGTTTGCCGGTGGTTACATTTGCTGCATGCGGGAAACATGGGACCGCACATCATGTCTTCATTCATGGTTTGACACCTTGATTGTGGCCGCTGTCGCCGTCCACGGATGCACCTCTGTTGTCGTACAGCATCGCAAGCTCATGTATTCATGTATTTGGGTATGTGTGTGCGCACATTTTCAATGACTATATGCACTTGTCTGTGTGTGTGTGTGTTTGTGGTGTGTGTTTGTTTGTGTGTGTGTGTGTGTGCACTTGAATGGACATGCGCTGTATCACTAGGAACTACTACGTGCCCGTGAGACTTTCGGACGGGCAGGTGCAAGAAGGACAGACCGAGGAGCATCAGCTCAACAACCTTGAAGACGTGAGTTGCACTCATGAGTTATCAGTGTACCGTTGATATGCACAGGCAAGCAGTGGATGTGCAGGCGTTGGTCAAAGGACTGGTCTTGCTTTGATGGAACATGGCAACGTCACGTCATCTCACACCCCTCCATTTTTTGCACATCTTGCTAGTTTGAAGCGGTGATTGGGAATGATGAACACAAGTACTTCGACGTCATCAACGGATATGTCATGTCCACAAATCAGCAATTGCTGCGGTGTGTATGCATCTGCACATAGATACATGCTTTTGCTTGTGTGTGTGTGAGCTCGTGCTTGTGTCAATGGTTCAAGGTGCTGCTTGCATGGGGAGGCGCAGGTGTGCACTCTGGCTGTGTTCTCATCCCATACCCGTCTCATGACTATGATCATGTCGCTGTCGTCTTGTTTTGTTTGTACAGCCTGAAGGAGCGGCTTGATGGAGATGCGGACCTGTGTAATCAGCTGATCTCCACCATTCGCATCGGTCTCCATGAAGACGTTCCGGTGTGTGTGTGCGATTGAGCGAGTGTGTGTGATTGAGTGAGTGTGTGTGTGTGTGTGATTTAGCTTGTGTACTTGACAAATGAAGCATGCCCACAAATGGCATGAGTTGTCAAGCAAGCTCTCGTCACGTAGCACACCTTCATCATCATCATCATCATCATCATCATCATCATCA